ATGATGATGATGATGATGATGATGATGATGATGATGATGATGATGATGATGATGATGATGATGATGATGATGATGATGATAAATGCACTGGAATACAACTTAAAAGAAATGATTTAAAAAATGCAACGTGAGAAAAGTGGACAAGATCAACAAAGAATACGTCCCTTATAATATCAGCCAATGAGGAAGAAGCTGATCAGTTTATCCGGACCATTTGATTTCAGAGCATCTAACGTCGCTTCCACTAACCCGTAACGAATTTCTCGATTACATCCTTACCGACGTACACTTTGGACAATATGGTTGCTATTGTGCCACATAAGGCTGAATCATACATACACCGGGACAGTTTTCTTTACAAATAGGGCATATTCATCTGACATGAGAGAGCAGGAGAGACACTACACTCTGGCATATTAGTGACAGTGAGTGGAGGTTTTATCAGTGGAATTAGGGCAAAACTATTGGCAGGTGTACACATTTTTTACGTTTTCGCGAGGTGGCGATAGATCATATGTGACTCACAATAATCTTCCAACGGTACTGTCAGCGTTGCCGTAGAATAACGGATTGACTCGAAACTCTAGTTAATGCACATTCCATCTGAATAGGAAGGGTAATTCCTGAACGTCCCTAGATGGACTTCGGACTATCATTGTCGAAATGGTGTGAAGACTAATCTAAGATATTCAAATTTAGGCATGGACTGTAATGCAATGCCTGTACATTCAGTTTTGAGCCATTCGGTAGCTAAGGTAAGCCACATTGTGCCTGTAAAAACTTTGGAGCAATCTAACACTAACCCGTTGTAAGGGAGTTTGACTTAAATTTTGAAGGACTGATGCAAGGGGCACTGTGTAGTTCATCTCTTGAGCAGCTCAGCCGAAAAAGCCCAGTGACAGAACCGCAATCATTTACCTAGGTTCTGGCTCATGCTGATCAACGTGCGGATCTATATTGTAGCACCGAGCAAACGAAAATGACCTGTGTTGACGATCAACTGGAACTAGAGCAATAAGAAAAACGTCACATCCATATAGCTTGGTTAATTGCTCCTTATATGTGGGATACATTTTCTAAGATGCCATGTAAATATAGACAACCGTGTGGGAGTAAATACTGCAACAACTGAATTCCATAATGAGTTCGAATATCCGACAGTTCAGTCAGCAGTATCGCGGCGTAATCACTGAGCTATTTCCAATCCCTAACCAGTAAAATTTATCTGATCACCGGGAGCAGAATAATATTTCAACCGGTGAAATAAGTGACAGGGTTGAGCAGTTGTAAAATAACAAGAATTCAGTTTAAGACATAATTTGCTCGGAAACAAACACAGTCTATGACTATTGTAGTCCACATTTTCCACCCTGTCCACGAATTAGTTGGCAATGCTGCAAGACACATCACGTCAAATGGAACTAGCTGTGACGGACCCAACAGCCCAGATAAGAGATCCAATCACAGGTGACCCGCTCCTGGATGATCCGGTCATATTCGGCACAGCGGCTAGCGGTGTACTGGTACCCGTGAAACGACTTCGAGAAGTGAGAAATCGGGAGCCGGATCCCACACAACTGCGAGTAAAGATTGACGCTATTCAGGTCCAGCTACTGGTACGAGAACGCAAATTGCTCGAGTGCGACTTACTGTTGCAGGCCGTGAATCGGCTTGTAGCCAACTTACAGGGTCAAGCTGCAATAGGAAGGTGAGTCACCCCTGACAAGTAACGTCTATTCCTTTGAACTGGCCACCCACACGGTTTAAAGTAAATGCAAGAGTTTTCTTTGAAGAACACTATCATCGAGCACTACATATGTTACGAAATTTCTTGACGCTAGGACACAGTGACGCAGGGTGCTAGTGGAATAAAACAATGCCGTTAATTTATGATATAAAATCACTGAATAGTTGATGCACCGAAGATGGAGAGGATCAGTCAGCATATTGTCGGCGCAAAACCATTACAAAGAGAATGCATGGAAGGGATCTACCTCTGGCTCATGTGACGTAGCAGTGGGTCTGTGGTTTCGAGTTTTATTAAACTCTTTCTGTAGAAATTCTTGGTTCGGGCACCTGCCCTATCTTCACCATATAGGTTCGTCAAGTCCATACATCCGTAGATCTGCGCTTGATCCACCAAATACTTGAATCTTGGATTTGATTTACCACCCGTCAGGTAAGACCTCAGAAAGCTGAAAATGCACAGTATCACAAAAAGAACCGCACATCTCCAAGGTACGATGAAATTAAAGTCATCCTGAGGGTACTCGGTCGACACTTATCTAATTTACTAGAATGTCTTTAACGGTCTACCGGAATAGACTTTCTACATCAAAATTTCTGAATTTGCTCAGTGTGTACATATTCTGGTTATGGGCACTCAACAATTTCCAAGTTGGTCATGCCTTTGATGCTTGTACTTTCACAGAGCGATCGAAGAAACTTACTTTTATAAACATCTTGCAAATCCTAACGAATATTTTATTGTTTCAGAGATACAACACTCAAACTGGCCAAAAAGATGAATGAACGCCACACTGATGTAGAACAGACCAACAAAAAAATGAAAGCAATGGTAGCGGAGTTGAACATGTTAAGGTCAATGGCATTCAACCTTGAACGAGAAGTTAAAGTGAGTTCGTTACAGTTAATTACAGAAAATCATCAACTTCATTTGAAGTGAAAGTGATCCAACAAATCCATGACATACATCGAAATCAACCAAATTTTAATTTTAACTCCTTTTGAATTAATATGCAACTATGGAGCTCCTCACTAAGAATGAAAATGCAGCTCCACTTGAGCAATCTTCGAGTTGAAAAATGTTAAATTTTCTTCGTACTGAAAAGACCCCTGCATCAATTATGTCATTCACCGCCTCCAAGCCGTAACCATTTACCTCATCTCTCCAAATCATCGGTGGACGAAACTGTGGCACCTATAGCAACTGACGACAAGTGCACGGCCTCTTAATATAGTGACGCTGAGGATGATGGCTGCATGGTTCGCCTAATGACTCCGCAACATAGAAGTGCGCCAGAATTGCATAACGTTGGAAAACCCATTGTTTTCCTCTATTCATTCATGTACCTCTTTTTCGGTGCCCTACCAGCTAACCCGTTATATTTTCAATACCATCGAGAAATTCCCTTATTAGGGCAGACACCATCTCATCGCTTGTGCTGTCAGCCGACTAAATGTTTCATACCTTGTTCCTACTAACTAGATTACGAAGAGGATGGAGGAGTGCGATATGTGCTAGAAGAGGATCTACACAGACTTTTAGGCTAGGTTTCAGTTAGCCTTATCAGGTAGGAAAGCAGTCGTCGTGTTGCGCCCGGCAGCGAGAGCCCCAAGCTTTCACCAACAATATAGATCGAATCTCCTCGGATTTTATTAGATAACGACTAATAAACGACTGATGTTTGAAGTAATGTCCAGTTATAAATAAATAAATTTTACTTCGTTTTTAGGAACTTCGAATGCTCGTGCTGGACATACATCGTTCTATGCAAATGGGCGACTTTTCCTCAGGACACCTGAAACTTATGTGGACAAAAGCACCGAAAAACAGAGAAAATGTAATGCAAAGACCAAAAATTGTGAGTTTTTGAATAACTAGAATAGCTAGATTTGGAATCAACAAGTTAATTAAAACATAAGCGTAAAAAAACCACACTGAAATCTAAATTTGATGTTCACAAACTCTGGTCCACCGTAACCGTGTTCACTGACGGCGAACTACTGGACAATGGTGGTCCTCTCTGGTGATGGGCCTCGCCTTACGCACGCTCGACCAACCCACCACTCACATTGACACATGGCTACCACTCCTTGCTCGTTCAGTAGCCAGTGTCCTAGGGCACCAGTCGGCCAGCTGATCCTTGTCAGAACGGTCGGAAGCTAAAGGACCACGTACGATCGGTGGCCCACTACAGAGACCCACAAACTCAACCATGCTTGGTAGACCTATGAAAGTTGCTTTCATTTCGGTAGACTTGTTAGGGAGGCAGTTACGTAAACAGTTGTCTCATGAAACACATATTATTGGGGAAATTGCCTCTGGTTGAGGACCTTAATTGTCGTACCACTGGAAAACAGTGAATTTGGTTTTAACATCCGTGACAGCGATGAGGATGATGCTGACACAAACCGTTGGGCGTTTGCACTCCTAGACACTGGATTACAACCGCTTCTATATGGGGGGGGTGAAGTCCGAAACCTCTTCAAAGATGGGATCATTACGAGGTAGGCAAATAACTTTTCAGAAGCCGGTCCGTAGGAGATTATCAGTTCTCATGTGAATCTCCCAACATACGATTTAGCTCATGCCCACTCTCCCACTACTTGCACATCACCAGGTTGGGCCAAAAGAGAGGTGTCTTGTGCTGTGTTGGGATAGTTCAACTAAAAATAGGTGATATTTCTAGTGTTTGAGACAACAATGGGATCAACTCTAAGTCACAAAGAAATCTCATAGCTCGTATCGTCTATATTCTATTTAAAAAGCCCCTTATTCTCAATCAGACGTATTCATTTCGAATGAATAAAACATTCGGAATTCCTTGACTTTGGCAAGGTTTTAGGCTTCAATAGCTTGACGATACTAACGATTTGCCCTTCACATACTTTCCATATATTTCCACAGGGTGTCTGAATCTCAAAGGGGATTCAGCACCCCAAGAGAACCTCTACAATAACATATAACCGTGGAGCTCACCAGCAGAAAAAACTTACACAATTATAATAAATATAAACAAAATAAGTAATGTAAAAATATATAATAAAAAACAAATTAGTTTGCAAATGATTGCATTTCGCTAATTTCGTACAAATCGGTTTCAAGTAGAACATAAGGTTGACAGAAACTGAGCCTACCTGATGAACCCCAAGAAGGGCAAAACCGGTCTTGGGCTTTCGACCAATTTTCAGCAAAGTTATGAGTAGTGCATCGTGAATATAATAAAAGTTGTTTTGAAACAGGGAGAAGAATAATTTAATTCCTAATCGAGTCTTGTTTTTGGTTCGCCTGAGCAGTATGATGGCCGTCCGAGTCGTTGACTTGATTTGATATACACTACTGATTTGCGTAAAGGGCTGCTGTTAGGTGGGGAAATTCTCTAGGGAGTTTGAGAAGCTAGCAGAGGGATTGCACATCTCAGTGCCAACCAACTTGTTTTAGACATTATTTGCATGAACTGTGACGAGGGTAATTCCCAGGACCATTAAAGTTATTTTGTCTGAGATAACCGGTTGATTATGCAAGTCCCTGTTTTCACGGTGGTCTTTATGGTGTACCTTAATACCGATAAGTCTTGGGGGGGGGTATTCTTTTTTAGAGCCTGATACTGAATAGTCGGGCAGCTTTCTTCGCGAGTACGATAACTTGTTGGCTCTGTTCAGAGCAACTGCCTCCTCCTAAAAATTTGTTGTTCCTAAGAGGGGAAAAGTGTCTTCCACGAGATCTGATTTCTATACCAGCACAGCCTACACGCCCTGAGCGAAGTGTGCAAGCGCGGAAGATCTCTGTTCGGGAACCGCCTAATAAATAGGTGCGTAGATGTCTCGTCCATAGTTATCACTAACGTCGGACCCGGCTATGGTAACCCGTTGGGCGTGTCAAGGGATTCCAATCCATACGATGCTAACTGCCAGTCAATAATACTTCCGCATGTACGCCACACCTAAATCTTAAGGTGTCGTGAGACAGTGGTGCCCTCCAAATACATTCGAATGCTAAAACATCTTCCCAGTTTCGCATACATCAAGGCCATTGATGTTTTCTTCCTAGCTTTCAGAAATTCAAACGCTATGATCCAGAATGCATTGCCCCCACTTTTCAAAACGGCTTAGTGTTCATCATAGCCCAGATAAAGCAAAACCAGAGTATGCTTACATCCCGAAGGCTAGTCGTGATTCTTTTATAAAACAAGGTGTGAACAAGTAAGGGCGGCTGGAGGATCAGTAAAGCTCTAGTGAACAACGTTATCGAAGACAAGTAACGTGTACTTCTAAGAGGGTCTTTGGGGTAGGTTTCGAAGCTTCTGACAGCTTACAAGCTGTTGGCAGTAGAATGAACAGAGGAACACAGAAATTTGTTTTTACGAAACTCTTATTTGAACAGCCCGACCTAAATCTGTCACATTGACGTGGTAGTCAGGCTTCAGTGCTGCTGCTACACCAGCTGGAACTTTTTTCCACAGGTGTCAACCATACCAGGAAAGTCAAGGGATAGAAGTCAGACCGAAATCAGCGAGACCCCGTAATACGAGTAATCATAACACAAGGCGGTCTAGGGGGATCAACTCGTACTTCCCTCTGTGATAGGAGTGTGGAGGCAGTAACTTGTTTCCTCCAGGCGATCAGCGTATCTATATTCGTGGAAACAGTGGTACTACATTCCTCCGAAGAAGGACGAGTTTAAAGTGGTCGGCCCTAAAATCCGCACACTCCGATCACCCAACGGCTGACCTTGACAGCCTGTGCATTATTCAATACGGTCGAAATACCTTTAAAACCAAGGAGTCAGGTGCTGCTCAAAAGGCGCCTTCTCTTAGCAGCCGCATCGGGATTGAAACGGTAATTTCCTACTCCCTGTGCCACCTATGCCAGCCCCCTTCAGCCGATCGGGTCAGAGGCTATAGGCAGGGTGCCCGAACGAAACCCTACATTCTCCCACTGCCTTGTGTGTCACCCTGTTGAGTCAAAGGCTCAAGATGGGATACCTCAACCAAACCCCATTCCTCGACCTGGGCGACTCGGAAGTATCATTTGCCATCAGACCTCTTTATTCACCGATGGCCCCCCAACCTCTTCCCATCAAACAAGCAAACGTTGCCAGGTCACTCGATTGTCAGCTATCTGACGGATAGGACATATGCTCCCCATTGCATACTAACAAAAAAACAAAATAACACCTTACTAAATCCTCGAGCTCCTTTGTACATAGCAGCTTTTAACGTCCGTAATCTATGTCAAATTGACAAACAGGCAATGCTTGCTGAAACCCTGTTCCCCCTTAAAATTGATGTATTCTCTGTCTCGCATACAAGACCCAAGCGTTGTTATGCATCTCAGAACACCAAGAACGAACTCAACTCTTTCACATTTCCCCCTCCATGTGTCCGGTGATCCAGAAGCAGCAACTCGTGGAATATATGGTGCGGGAGTTGTACTCAGTCTCAGAGCTAAGCGCGCTTTCTGGATTGAGTTCTAGTGAACAGTCATTTTTGCGCCATCCTATTATTCGGTTCAATCAAGCTCAAAAGCTATCGACAAAAAACGGTACCTATTTGTAATGTTGGTGTATGCTCCAACAGACTGCAGTTCTGCTGCTAAGATCCAAGTGTGAATGGGGAATTTGATCGACTGTTGGTTTGATGTCTCCCCTCTGAAAAACAGGCTATGTCTACTTACTGAATGCGCACTTCACAGCTCGCACCATTGTGAAAAGCACACTTATGGTGGCATGGAGGTTGGAAAAATATTTCATTCTACGAGTTTCTTGGCGAATCACCATGTCACCGTAATTAAAACGTCGAAGATAATACGTTACGTAATACGCATTACTGATGTGTGGTTGTTTAATTCACGCAAGTATAGAAAGCTTGCGCGGATGCAGTCAGTTGAGTTTCAAATCCAAGTGACGCAAATATTGGGGCATTTTTGCCGAATGAAGGCATTTGGGGGTCGTCCAAGGTACCCATTGTCGCTTGCTGAAGATACTATTCGGTCTTTTAAAAAAATTGAAGCTTTCTTGAGCTCTAGCCAACAAGCAGTAGCCTAAAGAAGCGAATAAATAGGTAAACCTAAAGAGCATTACTTGCAGGATAGACCATTATGTATATATTCCAATGGAACCTTCAACAAGTCGTAAGCCAAAGAAAGCATTAGAAATACGCAGATTAAACACTTCCCAGGCCGATTCACTGTAACCGACCGATTCTAGTGCATTTTCCTTCCCCTGATTTAGTGAGAAATATCTCGCACACCTAAAGAATGTGGTTAGTAAGTCCAGCTTCACAGTCTTTCTAGCAGCCAGTCGTGATAATAACATGCCCAATTTGCAAGGAGGCACATGAAATAAGTAGTGGTGAAACAAACAATGCCCAAATTTAGACCAATCATCAGACCATTCGGGTACGAATGCTGTGTGACATCTCAGAGTCACTTAGACAGAAGTAAAAAGAATAACAATCATGGGTATGCTCTATTGAACTTTCGAATAAAAGTGATACTGCCAATTAGGTGTACCAAAGGTATTAATGTTAACTAAGCCTCCACGCTGATTATACACTATTACCTCCATTCCAGATACAAACAACTCCGAGATCCGAACGTCACAACACTTACTGCACACAAGAAGACACAGAAACCAAGAGAAAAGGAGAAACTGTTGACAAAACGCTCCCATTTGGGACTCCAAAATCCCTATCACAAACGGAACCTGGTTCTAAAAAGCGTCCTACAACTCCACAAAGTAGCTGACGCATATTTGGTTCAGATTTTGCCAGTTTCGTTCAGCACTTCAAGAAAGCGTTACAAAAATTGCTCTGAAACGAGGGTTGTCGTTATTCCAAACGATGGGATTTCGTTTGAAGCTTACAATGAAGCAAACAACTGCCAATTACCCTTAAACTACCAACAAAACTGTAAGTAGCACAGAAGGGAGAATAATTCACACGATCGAGCTTACCATTCGAGTAGCCAGTCAGCACGTGACCACGTGATGTGGATACGGTGACTGCGGATGAGTGGCGCTATGTCCCGTCTAAGTGCAGTTTACCTACGCTATTGCTAGAGTCATGGCTGAAGGGCTTTTTCTTTAACGGCTGACCGGGAAGTCACCATTACGGGTCCCTCTGGAGATTCGTAAGCTGATTACTACAGATGGTTCATCTTAAGGATGAAACAACAGTAGGGTGCCGCTCGGTTTTTCAGTGTAGATTTACTTCACCTACAGGATGAAACATTGACTGGAACAGAACAGAAAAGTAGAGGGTCATCCGGTGAGTTGTTGAAGCTACATGCAGTATTTCAAGACTCACGTGAGGAAGATAAACCACAAATTACTTCGTCTCGTCACTAACCGAGGAGACACTATCATCACGCAGTGATGACGAGATATCCGAGAAACCAATCGCGGAGATAGAACAGGTCAACCAATAGAGAGAGGTTGGTTTAATTTTGGCAGGAAATACATACAAACAAATGCTGACAACCGATTGTTATCCGTCGGTTCCTTCATTGCAGCATTACGCTCCGTACAGTTCAAAATAGGAGTAACTTTCATCTTTATGCGAATTTCTCATGAATTTCATTGTATAACAGCATGGATTTTGCCACCGGTTAAATTGACGTAATATATCTGACAGACCCAAAATATCTCGATCCATAGTACACCGTATTTTCTTATAATACTGCAATAGGAAGCATGAAGGTGTCATGTAACGATCAGTACACTAACTCTCAGAAGAAATCTCATACGTAACCAGTGGGGATGGGCGAAGTCTTTGCTGAGAGGTACTTCCTACATGACTAGCAACATAGTGGCTGCGGGGAAATCCAGTTGACCCAAGGATCTGATAACTGTGTGCTAGCCGTACTTCGAATGTGGATTTTAATAATTCACTGCGTGAGAAGACATGTTTCATTCTCGTTTAACAATGGCTTTGTGAAGGTCGTTTGACAGAATTTATCCAGTCAGCTGTTACCGAATTTCTAAACATGTGTGCTTACCATACTTAAATCGAGTATATCCTGTGTGACTGAACAGATATTTGTACCGGAGAAAACAGGAACGAACCTCTCTTCCTGAACTAATATCAACACAGGCGGATTTATCTCAAACTTTAAAATAACGCTTGTTGCATGTTTTCTTCGCTATGATTGTCTGCTAAACGCCAACGAAATGAACCCTGTTGCACTGTTATAAAAATGGCGTTGAATATGCTTTTCATCTAAGTCTCATCAAGGTCTGTCCAATTACTGATTTTTTGGTCATGAAAAAACTTTTCGACGCACGGAGCCGCTGCAAGATCGTGGGAACCAATGTACTGACCGCAACGCGCCTCCAAATACCATGAATTCGGTATCTGACGCACGGCTGACGGATATTTATGGAACAGAAGTCAATTGTTCTCGGATAGTGAGGAGTACCTGATGTCAGCACGATTGTTGCGTAATGTTTTGCTCTCGAATCAGCCCGTGCGTCTAGTCTGCTAACTGGAAGCTACACAAAAATGCGAGCAACTCACTAGTCAATGCCAAGTCATGCTAAGAGGATTGGAAAGAACATAATTCCATCAATACCCAAGTGATATGCGCCTTTTTTCTAGATCAATGAGGGACAACAAGAGAAAATAACGAAAACTGGTTGTTGATCTAGCGAGTACTCCCACTTGTCCTCGGCCGCACCACACCGTTGAGAAGGCAGCCTAAGCAGGTATTGTATTATTGACAAGGTGAGAATTGAACAGAATGACATCAGCGGACAGCAGACCTGCAGTTTGCTGGCTCACGAAAATCGCTAAGACTGAAGTTCAGTAGTTACAAGCGTTGGACTACGTGATTATAGAGATGGAACATCTATTTCTGAAGAAGAACGAACCCCCGTTTGCGAAGAGGCCTCCCATAGAGGACTAGCTGAGTGAATATCACTCCTTATCTCCTGGAAACAGTAATTCCCCCTGCAAGGAACCTTCATCTATGAATCAAATTGAGCGAGACTTTCGTAGTTCAGTTTTTTAATGTGAATCTCCCGCACTAGTTGGATTCACCAGTAAACAATCAAGAGACAAAAAATACCCATCGGACAAGTGGCTGAACGCCATGTCCGTTACCTCGTTGCAAAAAGTAGAATTCACCGAATCATGTGCGTTGGAAACGAATTAATACGCAGCATACTGTGGACTCACCATGTAACACAGCTCGCGTGATTCGGTCAACTACTACTGTTGACTACATTTAATGATCGCGACAGATCAAGCTTCCGTGCATAGTGTCCAAAGAACAAAAAAGCCTAAATCTTTCAATTTTCTGCGCACCCGTTGACCCTGAAACACACATCTTCGAAGCAATCCAAAGAGCAGGCGCTCATTCACGTTAATAGTCAAATTCCTCAAAGGATGCGACAGAACAAAAGTCAGCACATTTCAGGATAGGTAATATATTTTATTAGCTTCCAATGGAAGATAACCTTTCCGCGCACATCTCCATAGAGTATGCAAAATTTTCGCGGTCGGACTCAACCACATCCACGACTCCCTCCTACACTCTATCTACTGCCTCGAACAGGCTATTTAAGATATACACGTTTTCATATCAGATATTTTAAATGGGCTGATGACCGCATCCGTCTACACAGCAGCCGGACAGTCAAACAAATGAGGGAAGAACATGGCTACAATAACAACACCACATAGTTTGGAAGGCTGCAGCGTTGAAACATCTCAATTATCCTCCAGAAAAAGAGATTGGTGTTGGGTAATCCGGTACAAGAAGCAACCGCAATTTTCTCGTTTGATTCACTCGCATTTGACTACTTCCGACACATAATTCTGCCGCAAAATGGGTAAACGCGATTTCCGTTTCTCAGTCCTGTACTGTATAAACAGTGAAGCAAGCCAAATGAACCGTCTAGATAGCACCTTATCAGTGAACAACGTTATATGAACTTCTTGTCAGTAGTTACCTACTGACCAGTGCTTCATGCACATATCAGCAAAATAAAGGGAACCTACAGACTTCATTCGTTTCAAAGGAGGAGGATCTTTTGGACGATTTCTAAACACAGCCGGCCTTAGATACAAAATGAAAGGCTTGTTTAGTTGTATGTTCACCATTCGGATAATTATGGTCCTCAGATACTTCCACCTTGCACCACCATTCGGATTTCACAATAATCATCTGGTTTTCATAGTGCTTTGTTCATAAAGCAGACCGAATTGTTCCTTTCGGTTAAAATTGCGTTGCAACATCTCCGTTGCTCAGTGGGGAAAAAATGACGACAGTAGTGAACATGGTATCTCTAAATGATGCAAGTCAACCAATGTACTGCTCACCAGTCACAAGTCAGAACGCTGCAACTGACTTTACAGCACCACCAGTTGAGTTCGTGTGCACTGCGTATGATGAGTATGCCCCACATGGCAGTTATTCGTTAGATCAATGAAGTGACCTTCATAAAACTTCGCGATTTCCCACTAATAAGAATTGTCGTTAGTGAGCTCCATGCGAACCAAATTCAGGTAGATCATACAGTCAGCGAATGGTCACTTATAGCTGCGTGGAATGTTCGGCTTCTGTATTCTGAACAGAGCGGGGAAATTGAAGGGGATAGCTTAGCAGTTTTGTATTGGAAATCGCTCGAAACGATAGCCACTCAACGTAACGCAAGAGCAATTAACCTAACCTAGAAATCCATAAGACATCCGTGTATTCAAAACATCCCAAAATTAGGCGTCAATAAATCGCTTTAACCTTACAGATACGGTAAAATTCGATGACCATTTTTCTACCTCACAAAACATTCACACGGTTATCGGCCACAAGAAAATAAGGCTGAATAATCATAGTTACTTCGGGCTGCAGAGCTCAGTTCGTTGAAAGAACCCACGTATTTTCTGACGAAACTCAACTTCCGGTTCAAATAGGGTTGCTAACAAAAGACTGAACGTTCAGTAACTTCGACAGTCTATCCTTAAGTACGTGCTATTTCGCCACAGTTGGACCTGGATTGCATACAATACACAATTTGTCAGAATTAATAATTCTTCGACCACGAACGGCGTTATGCACAAAAATGCGCAACTAGGTAGACTTAACACTGCCAACGCTCAATTGGGTGGTCATCTAGGACTGCAGTCGAGACGCAAGAACAACGATAAACGCCTGCTGTAGTTATGTGCTAACCACAGACTGTTTATGTGTAGTACAAACTTCCGGAACAATCGAAGCTACTTGGCTACATGGAGCTCCCGCTCCAATCTCCACTGCAGACAGACCAGACCGCCATTAGCTATAGGTGGCGCGGGTTAATCACTGACTATCGCTCGTTCTGGAACAGGTACGTGGATTCAGAACAGTGCCAGCTCGTTGTTGCTTCTCGGTGCACCTTTTAGAGAGTACTGCGAGTGAAAATCTCTTGGACTCTGATCTCAAAAAGCCTATTATAGCCACCTTTTGAAGTCCCCTTCGGACAAAACGTTTTCTCATGTTGCCTCTGACTGAAAGGTGCTATCTGCAACCCTGCAAGATAATGGGGGTTCCATGTATGGAGTGATCCAACCAAATAGGCCTATGCACAGGTTCTCGAACACTGCCCTAAAATTGCTCGAAACTCACACAGGTATTCCACTTGGTCAAGAATACAATACCACCAGACCAACTATCGGACTTCAGGTGAAAAGGAGCACCTACGCGCATGGAGAAGCTCGGTAGGTGAAGAGAACTGAGACGGAGGAGAGTGAGTATATTTTTCCAGCTGATACGCGCAATTATCCCAAAGAAACCTCCGGTGAACCTAACACTAACTCATAACAACGGCTTACTTATCCTTATAAAACGAGCATCTGGGTCGAACACTTTCAAGACCAATGCAACTGGCTGATTGCAGTTGCTCGACCGCATTTCCGACCGGAAGCCTTGCGCAATGAACTTGGAACTCCCAAAGGCTTCTAAAATGAACGAATGTCTTTTGTCTCTCAAGCGCCACCAAGCTGCTGGTCCTGAAGAACTCCTAACCACTCTGCGAAAAATGAGTCAGTGTTTTTTAACCCACTCGCCTCCATCTGGGCGAAAGAGACAATGCCGAATGAACAGAGTGAGTCTATAGTGGCGTGCACTTCAGAAAAGGGTACTCACATTGTGTGGCAACCACAGAAGAATTAGCTTGACCCCAGTTGCAATAAATGACAGTGATGACGCGCCAAATAACGAATAGCCTAAGGACTGACGGAGAGCCCTCGTAGATCGTAAAAGCCCGAGGACATGGAGAACGCATTCGCAACTGGGAACAATCGCGTCCCGTTAAAGCTAATCCAGTCAACTCGTACGAGGGTGGCTGTTAGTGAAAGGAAATCCGAGAAGGATGTGGCCCAATTCGTTTTGAAGAATGGGTCTAGAACTTTGAAGGACATTTCACCTGGACCCATCAACTCAAACTCTGGAAGCACCAAATGAACCCGAGTAGAACATGGACATCAGGCGGTCATGGACAACAGAAGCCCAGCCTCAGTACAAAAAAGCAACCGCTCCGAAGATTCTGAATCCTCCACTCCTCAAAGGTGTCAAGCCTGTCGTGGTTAACCTAACGACCTTACTTCAAACTATCTGGAATGTAAAAGAACATTCAACAGAATAGACCGCCTCAAAAGGGTGCAAGGACATCGTGTGAAAACAACCAGTCCATCAGCCTAATGACCATAGATTCCAATTTCTCTGTTATTATCCTGCGAACGTTCGTCCATCATCGGAGAAGCCCGATTCGCGAGAATCAAGCTGGGCCTCGCCATGACCGGGTTGCACCGCTCATAGCTCAACCTCATGATAAAGATTGGAACAGCGTCACTCCTTCCGACGACCGGCACTAATGGTCTTCCTCCACCTCAAACCTGATTTTCTCCCCGTTGATATTCAGAACCTGGTAGTCTGGCGACGAAAGGTGCCCGTTCCAAGTTCTTGTCTCTCATGAAGGCGTCACATTCCTCCTCTATTGGGTGCGTGACGACAGCAAATTTTCCCGAGCCCAACACACCCGGTGGGGCCAGGCAGGAAAGTCTCGCTTCCTCTGTAACTTCATAATCTATATGCTGCTTGGGTCTTTTTACCTGTTTCTAACACATCGGGAATTGAAATTCTCCCGCAGAGCTCGCTCGCGGACTTACAGTACGTCATAGAAATGCAAAGTGTTCTCAGAAACACAGATAATTCCGCTGCGCAGTTCGGACTGCCCATCCCATCTGTAAGGTGCTGCTACAAGATTGGGTGGGACGAAACCCAAACTTAATGCTTGCAGGTGAACTGATTATTACAGTACATAAATTCGTTTACCCGGGCAGCCGTACAGGTCCTGGTGAACTGGAAAGACAAAATCACTTTCAGAACTAGGAAAGCCAGGGCAGCGTCTGTTAGCTTCCGGCATTGGCGGCACCAAAAGTGACATCAGTTTGACTGTCAAGGGTAAAATGCACAATGGTGCGGTCCACTCTGTCTACTCTATGAACAAGATGGGCGGCCGCTGCGCGTGGACGACTGTTAAAAGCTGTACGTCTTTAGCAATCGGTGCTTCCGAAACATTGTGCGGGTATTGAGAGAACATCAGATCAGTAATACTTAGGTGGTTCAGATGGCTTTCGATAAGGTCCACACTCCCTCGACAAATGAGCCGGCCGCACTGGTTAGACCATGTACTTGGTATACGAGAGGGCCGTTTGCCTCGTATAGTCCTCTTCGCCCAACTTTATATCGGATGGAAACGATCCAGAGGCGATCAGTGCATGCATGGACAACGAAGCACGAAAGTCACTACCCGTTAACAGAACCGCATTGGTAACTGCCATCTCCCCGGATGCGGACCGCGAAATGAGACGAAATCAAGGATTGGCGATTCTAACAGATACGCCGTTCAGCTAATAACAGTCTTGCATCAAAGCTACCGCCTTCACAGCGTAGCTCCCACTGTCTGCCATTCAAAGGCAAAACCATTAGACGTCAACAAATTGATTGGACCATCGCCTCCAATGTGTGGCCCTCATCGCCTTACTCTCCTTATTCTCTGTGAACGAATAGGTAGCAGCTGGGGTCGCAGCCCGGTGCACTGCTTGTGAAATGAAAAACTGAACTGGACTCACACACCCCTGCCAGACCACACGCTGTTCAGCTGGCAGTTTGCGTTACTCCGAAAAGGGAACGAAGAACAACACTCGTCCCGGTAAATGCTTCGGCCTGCAGGACATATGGCGGAGGCCCACAGCTGATGCTGCTAGATTGTTTCCGCGACCAAAACGCCTGCTGCACAACCAAGTACCAATGTTCTAATCTGAAGACACCAAGTGTCCGCAGAAGCCATGTGCCGCAAGCATACAACTACCCGGTCCTCAATGTAGCCTGGTACATACAACTTTTGAGACAAAATGACGCTACAATCGACACCAAATAGCAAACGTGATTCTAGCCTTTAGAATTCGTGCACTGACTTCTTCACACAGTTCCTTCAGAGTCAACACAACCATCGAAGTATGTAGAATCTCCCACAACCTCCAGTACTCATCCTTTCATGAGGCACGCCCAGATACTGCACCTTCTAAGGCACGATTCTGCACTTCGAATGTCCAAGTCTCATGCCGAAAGACGGTGTGACAGTTGTTAGTTTATTCAACAGGGATTGGGCCTTGACTGTCTTCAAAGAAGAGGATAATATCGTCTATATAGTCCAGAGACACAGGGTTCTCACCAGCAACGACTTCAACTTTGAAGACCTCCCAGCGTTCACCCAGTACTAAATCAGTGACGAAGTTGAAAAAGATTAGGAGTGAACATAGTTGCCACAAACTGCTTTTCGCAGAAAACCTCTAAGACAACTCACCATACACTCTCACACAACCCGAAATATGTGAACACATGGACCGGGATACGTTCATAGTCTCCTAGAGCATATCTGTTGAGCAGGTGTGATTAACAGCACTGACTGATCGACAGAATCGAACTCAACGCAATTACCACCTTTCAAAATAGGCACTATTACCGATCTGCCCCAGTTGTCCGGGGCGGTCTTTCTCCTCTAGATAGACGTGAATAAGCTACACAGGTACTACTTGAAGGTGATCACGACCGACAGCAGGATGACGCTTGAGTAGAGATGTACACTAGGTTATTTTTGACGATGAAGGAGGCTCCATATTCACAATCCCCCTTTCTGCTGAAGGTCTGTAGTTCGGAGTCAAAGTAGCAGGTGGCCAACTGAATTGTTGCTTGAAGTACTGTGCCAAACGGTGCAAACGATCACCTTTTCTGGATGTTAGAGGTCCACTTTAGTCCATGATAATTTAGCCGACAAAAAACTACAAAGGAGTAGTGAAACAGATCAATTGGAACAATTTGTGGACGTTTCCAGCATATTTCGTGCCTTCCATTTCTTCGGCCTTTCGGAACCACCAAACCTCCCAGTCTACAAGGGTACACAATTCCCCCCTGGTGTCAGGTTATATGCATCTAGTGACCGTTAACGTCCGACATCGGACCATCCGTCGGGCGTTCGAATGGCCGGTTCTGACAGTTCCGGTTGATTTCTGGGTGCATGAGCTTCTCGATGGTGAGGGCCAAGTGAAGTGCGTGTGCTTTGCGTAGACCTGAAAGGCCCAAAGAAAAGCTGCAGCGAACAAGCGTGTGGTCAGAGCTCACACAGGTATTCCAAAGGGAGCAACAGGCAATGAGCAACCATCGCCATCGATAACTGATGGGTTAGGGGCTGGCTTGTTGTTGGACACAACATTGGCAAGCAATTTCCGCTGTTCTGTGAATCGGAGCTGCAAAAGTACAGTCTGTGATCGGTACACGTCTGAAGCATGCACTCTCCGTTGTTCGTGTGTCGTGTCCGAACTAAGGCGAACAATCATAACGATGTGAGGGCTTCTAGTCTGTTGTGAAAGAACTCTTATAGTACCACTTGGCAGATTCAGAGAGTCTATCAGGTCGCAGGGAGACACAATAAATAAGGAGCAGTGGACCTAAATTTCTCGAGATTCTTCTGCAAACGTTACCAAAAGGCGACTATCGGCGGTCAGGATGCTTCCATTCAGCGTCTCAACACAATACCTACCCCGACACATCTCAATGCAGTGGCCTCCACATTGCCAGAGATGTGCAGCCGGAACTTGGAACAGAGTGAGGAGATAGACAAG